CCTACCAGAAGATGGCACGGGCACTGAGGAACTACTCACGGACAGGCGAGATTCACAAGGTGAAGAGGAAGCTTACCTACCGCTTTGATGAGAAGACACTGAGAGGCTTACAAGGAGATTCCAAATTAGAGTAGTGTGACGAAGAGCGAACTTCAGAAAGTCAAGGGACTGACCTGACATTTGATTTGCGTAGATTCTTACTTAAAGGTATTTTAAATGACAAATGAATACTAAGTATTCAAAAGGCCAGAGCATGAACTACTGCCGGTTGGAGCTTTTTGCAGATACAGCAGTGGAGTTTGAAAGAAGGCTGAACAAGAAATGATGAAAGTCAATTTCAGGCTGTGTATGAGAGGTCAGCTGGCAATCACCAAGTAAATCTATAAGATTATGAGATATTATCTACTTTATAAGTAGAATTCAATTCCATCTGTTTATAAAAGTTGTTTTTCTTTGTTTGTTTTTTTTGTGATTCTGTGTTATATTCAGATTTTCAAAAGCACATGATAATTAGTCTGTGTACGCATGATCTGTTTGTCTCAAAATATCTTGTTTAACAGAAAATAAATCTAAAAATGAGTACAAATTAGAGTCTGAAGTAACCCTTTTTTAACGGTATACACAAATACACATCAAGAGCACACATTCAGATAAGCATAAATGTGCTTGAAGCAAGACCTCATAAACAGGCTTACTGTACACAGGCACACACAGATATCCCATCGTAGCCAAAATTGTATGCAAAGCAAGAATGCATTAGAAACCGCCACAGCAAACAGACCTGCTAATCAGTAACATCCAAAAGTCCCCCCATCGAAAAGAAAGATGCAAACATACACACCTAGGCACACCCATACCGGCCACACTCATAAACACACACAAACTGAACAAGGTTAACTGATTGATATTTACTGTTACAAATTTGCCAAAAGCTCCCCAACTCAATTTATACATAGCAAACTCAGACAAAGTCCCATCTTCCATGTTTTTATTAGCTCAACCTTTGAGACCTTTGTTTTCATCTTACTTGCATGAATTTGCAAGTCAAACTAGTTCTTTGATACCATAAATGTTTTCAGATACAGCTTCAGATAGTTTTACATTTAATCAATAGTGGTAAAAACATTTGCTTGCTTTTTAAAACCAGTATTCAACTTTTTTGGCCCTCTGCTCTCTAAAGTGGACAGTATTTATTTATTAAATGCAGTACTTGAAAATCCTAACAAGAGCTTCTGCAGTTCTAACCATGGGTTGGAAGTATCAGGCTTATAAAGTTAGTCAGTTCCAACTAATAGGTCAGATACTGTCATTGATGGGGCAGTTAAGGTAACAACAAAGGATCCATTAAATTAAGGATCTGGTCAACGGTTAAGCCAAGGTTAAAGTTAGAAAAGCTGTTTGGATGTGAGGTTAAATGGGTTCAGAAAAATAATAAAAGTCCTCTTTATGACTCCTCTTGACTTTCTTCCTGATACATTACACAATGATTAAAATAACTGAGTGGGGGAAAAATATAATGGAACATTTCTGTTTGCAAAATTTCCCAGTTCTTAAATGTTGCCACAACTAAAACTATGTATAATGATATACCTTTGAATCTACTTATAAAAAGTTTTCATAATATGCATTTGCAGGGTATGATCCAATGTGTTAGTGACCTATCAGACATCAACAGCTAATCTTTTTGTATCAATCAAATTGATTTTTAATCCAAAAAACTTTAATGAGTTCAGAAAATGTTTACTATAGTCAAAACATTGGATCTTGGTATGACATAAAAACCCAGTATAACCAAATTAAGCTGTTAACAATGTATTGCTCTGCATATCAGAACTTTAAAATGCGGTAGCAAAAAATTCTCTAAATGAGGTTCTAAAGTAGTGTGTGTAGAAAGAAAACATTTATTGAAACAAAATAAAGCGGAAGATTTTTATTAATTTAGGATTTTATTAAAGTATTATTACAAGCAGCCATATTGGAAACAGAGGGCCAGAATTATAAGAAAACAATTACCTTCCAAACAAGACTTCTGCGATTTTTTTTGTAATTTCCAGTTTCATACTTGGAAGTTAAAATATCTTTAAAAACAAAGAAATAAACATAGAATTTCACAGTATCCCTCAACTCATTATGCAAAATTGATAAATGGTGACATTTAATTCTTGCCTATGATATCACAAGTTAAAAAAAATACATTAGTGGACATATTTAGGATAATTTTTCTGCTGAAAGACTGAATAATGACACTTTTTCTAACAGTTCATATTGCTACCCACTCTAAAAACTTAAGGTCCTTTAGAATTAAAATATGCCTATAGCATAAAAGGCCCTCCACCACTCTTAACGGTGAGAATAATATATTTTATTACATATTATTCTTTTGCAGTCATTGTTGCAGATACATCTC